TTTTTTTTTATATATATAGATTTTTTTTTTAGTGTTCTCAGTCTTCACAGACACAGAGACCCTCATCCAAGTCTGTTAACCAACCCAGGGTCCCCTATATAATTTTTTTTCTTTACATTTTTATTAATGTTACATTTTAATTTGGAACATAATTGCATCCTGCTTAACAGATGATTGTTTACACGTGTTAACTGATTATATTAATAATTTAATGTAACAATTTTGCCTATCTTTTACAGAAAATAATTACTGCTATGAAAGATCGGTTATGTAAAATTGACAAGTTAGAAAATACATAAACGTTTAAATATTTTAAGAAGGTGTAGATCACGTGGAATAAAATTGTACATTCAAACAACAGTTTGCATATCTAATAGTGCTGTGTTCAAAATATCGATACGACGATGTATCGTCACAGAGATTTGACGATACGAGTATCGGTACAGCTGGCCCTGTATCGATACTGTGGCACGTGTGCAGCAGTGGACCACGCTTAATTTTACAACGTTTAAAATTTAGTAGAACAGTGCGAGGTTTCTAAAAAAGAATGAATAGAGCATCTGTTAATAATCTGGCCGCAGAGGAACACAACGGGGTTGCCTGATATAAAGAGACGTAATCCCCAAAACTATGGGAGTATTATGTGACAGGATTACCTGCCGGAGTTGACAGTCGTGTACTTTTACGTGTGAGAAGGGTACGTCGCCTCCACAGACGCGTGATAAGTACGTCGTTTGAGAAGTACGTCGCCTCCAGACTGTGACGCCAAATACCTCAAATAGCGTTCAATTAAATTATTCTCGGTTTTACATTATTATTTTACTACAAATTATACACCATCAACAGAGCTGAAAATTAATTGTATTTTCACAATAACATCAACTTTACAGACACATAAATTCATTAATTATTTAACATATTATTCTGATATGTGCCATTCTGAGGTTTTACTTTTGATATATCGGTTATGGTAATCATTTTACTTAACACTCTGGTATGGTGCTCACAGTTGTGCGAATACATTAGCTCAGGAGATGAGTCGATACATCATGTTGTTCAAGAGAAGGTGATGAAATGGTATTTTAATAGAATTGTTAAAGAAGTGTATAAACAATGCAGGTGCATTTTGAAACATTAAATTGCACTGTCACTAACGATTATTTTGTTAAATGAGCAATCTACTGATGATTTGGTATTTTATGGATTGGTTTGTGGTGTGTGTCAGGTGTGTTTGATTAGGGTTGGAGCTAATTCTGCAGGCCAGGTGCACTTCATTGCTTATCCCTAGGACCTGGTTCTTAGTCCTGGTCATGGGAACCCCCTGCTATGCACATTTTGCATGTCTCCCTTATTTAACACACTTGGTTCAGTTCATCAGCTTGTTAGAAGAGAGCTCCATGAACTGAACTGTGTCAGATAAGGGAGACATAAAGAATTATAATTTAATGCAAGTTGATTTTGGCAGTTACTCATAAAAGGCAACACCATCTGCAACAGACATGCTGGTGTCCTGACAATTTATCTTACCCGGGCACATCAATATTGTGTCATTTTTCTCATGCTGAACAACAATATTTAATGTATCTGCATTACTGTAAGGGTAGGTTTAGGGTTGGGGTAGGTGTAGACTTCAATAAAACACAATCTAATAGGTAGAAAAAATTATTTATAGAATGGCTCGTAATTGTAGTACACGCGCGTTTATTGAAATGTTAACCTAATCTACGTTCCAGAGAACTCGGATATAATAACTATTATAATATTATATTATATTTATAAGTATAATATTATATTTTACATAATTATATAGCCTATAATATACTTTATATAAAAATATATTATAGTATATAATATCTACATAGAGACGTTATTTCCGGGTCCAATACATTGGTTTTCGTGCACGTCAATAAGTCATTGACAGATTTGAAGCATATTTACATTACTTCTTTTATTCTATTTATTCTAATAATTATAATTATTAAATAATTATGTTGATTATTTATTCTATTCTATCTTTTATTCTTCTTCAGTTTTTTCTGCCTTTTTTAATTATTTCATTTATAAATTCATAAAAAAACGACTAATAAAGTGTATATTATACACGATATATTATAATCACATTGCACTTGCCTAAAGTTATAGGTGTAAT